GCACAGTTTCAAATCTCACACAAACTCGAAGTTCTACAACTTTTTAAAATTAATGTTTTAATTTAAATAAATCTCATTACACACACAAAAAATGGAGTGGCACCTGGATAAAACACAACTTGTGGAGAGCATCTGAACATCCTTCTTAAGAGTGGCCATTTCCAGATAACTACCTGGCTCAAGGTCTCTTCCTTCCCCGTGCTCTCACTCAGTTATCCCCTAGTTTAGAGAAATCTATGGCTGAGGCTGAGACTGAGCGAACCGACTGCTCCCAAGTCGTGAGTACAGTAAGTGGCCAGCTTCTGAAGCGAGCCAGCCGTGGATCGTTACAGCCTGTCCCTGGCCCTTTCCCTGCCAGCACACAGCTCCTGAGGACAGCTGACTTCGCCTGCTGCTCGCTGGTGAAAGCGAGACCTAAACTCACCACTTACACGGCAAATCGCAAACTGCACCTGCAGTACCAGAACGCAGACAGGTCACTGTCTTCAATTCGTGCTACGCAAACTAGCCCGAGCAAGTCTCTTTGTAGGCCAGAGCTTCAATACATTTAAAAAACACGTTCCAAGGCAAAACGCTTGAAACGCAAACCCTCTTCACCAACTGGATCTGGTCCCTTTTCCCCAAAGATGTACAGGTGTAAGCCATATCCATCCGCAGACCTGAACCTGTCACAAGCACACAGCAGACAGGATTTCAGCACCTTGTTCTCTTCATCGGTCTGGCTGCTCCCAGACCAACTGAGCTTCATGACACATTCAGGTTTCTGCAAAATCAGTGTCTTTTAGAGCTAGCAAATTTAAAAGCTCAGGGAAACGAGTTCCCAGGCACAGTACAGAGAAGGACCAATGTACTGTGTGCTTTTAAAACCTGCTCACAGTGACAGATTTCAGAGTTATAGCTAAATTATCATTGTCCCTGCAAAAGGAAGGTAGTTGTGCTTTTTTTAAATCATTTAAAGCAGGGTGACACATTGTCAATGTACCTTTACATCCTGGTGTCAAAGAACTGGAAAGCCTTTTGATTTATTCTTGGAACGCGGCTTGTAAAATTTGCAGCCAAATCTCAAATTAAGAAAAGAGGAATAAAATGACTGAAAAATAGTTTAGCTTTCCTTCCAAATTAACCTCCCTTTCTCACTTGGGATCACTGAACTAGTTCTATTCTAAAAATAATTTCACATCCATCCTGTACATAGTGCTCTGAGACACCACATGCTTAATTCTTTCCAGTCTTCAGTGCTGCCAGTTCAGATCTCCTGCCATTTTGAAGTAATGTTTGCTGGGCGGCCAGATGCTAATCAGCAAGATAAACTGGCAGGGGAGTCACTGCTGTGGGGAGAGAAGCAAGTTGTGTGCAGGCAGCAGGACTACAACAATTGTGCCAGGCAGCATCTCAAGCAAACCCGATAGCTCTTTTTTTTTTTTCTTTCTCGTTCTGTGTTTTTTTTAAAAAGTGCACATTTTAATTAAACATTTACAAGGAATATAGTGTAACAAAAATAAATACATGACCTTTTGGTTAGATCATTGGCAAATGTTACATCACTAACCAGCTTCAGGGTGAAAAGATCACAACAAAAACAGGGTCCTAGGAAACCAATTAAATCCTCTATGAATTGTCATAGATTTGCAACCACTGATAAGGAACTTGCTTTCATGGGGAGACTTGTCTTTACTTTAACCCACAAAAAGCACTGGCTGTCTGCCATAAATTAAAAAAACATAAAATAAAAAAGCAGAGGCCAGTTTTTGCTAACAGATGACTACTTGGAGCTGCAGTCTACTGGAAGTCCAGATTTTAAAAAAACCTGTAGTACAAATTTAGACCAGAAACTATCAGGGCTGTTTTTCCTTATTAAATTGAACTCTTTTTTTCCTGAGCCTCTTAATGTTTCCAAACACTCCACCAATTTTCTCATTAACTACAAGTACCAGAGAAGACAGTGGTCTGCAACACAAACGCCAACTTAAGAAAAGCCAGAACCTGCAGGTGCCTGTACAGTCCTGACAAGCATGACAGGCTAAAATTGTGCTTTCAGATACAAGCAATGGTGCTGGCAACGACCTGATTCTGGTGAAACTGCTGCTTAAATAAAAATGCATCGCCACTACCTCAGGAGGAAAATGGAAGTCTTACCAGTGGTTCCTTTAGAAATTAACACCTTAACAATCTTTCCAATTGTTTTGCCTTTGATACATAGCTGCCAAAGAGAAAAAGCACAGAAGTGAATTATTCTGGGGGGGTGGGGTGGTGGTGGTTGTAAACCAACTGTTTACGTAATTTCAAAAATCTCCATCAATAAGAAACAAAACCAAACCTCACAAAAGTCATGAAAGATGAAGTAAAATTCTTGAAAATGGCTAACTGAGAAACAGCACAAAACAAATCAGTAATAAGCGCTAGAATAATGCAGCCCAGAACTACTGGGGCAGGGGAAGCTTCCGCACACGCGCACACATCCACACACACTCAGACACACACAGAAAAGTAAAAATTTCTTCTGACCTCCATATACTATAATACTCAGCATTCCTGACTTAAAAGCTCTCAGAGCTGTAGATTATATACTGTGTGTATATATATATATATGTACATATATTATACATATGTATTTTCCAAGAATATCTAAATTAAAAGAGCACCTCTGACAATATCTTAACTGCCTGACTGGTGCTTTTGTTTTGCAAAATAATGACATTACAAAAATTATATTTCAAATCAATTCTTGTTTATTATGAACATAATGGATCTAGCCCTTTCTAACCCTCTCTTCAGGTAAAACAGGCTATCAGTTCTTGAAAACTCACGACTGTGAGATATAAAATTAACCCTCCCTCCCCCCTGCCAGCATAATTTCCGTCCATCTTCCAAATGGCCTTAGTTCATAGAAGCTGATTACCCCAACCTCGCTACTTGGTAAATAACATATGAAAGGATTCCTGCGTCATGTTCTTTCCCTTTCTGGGTCAATATGAACAGTAAAGCATGTATGGGTAACCCTAGCCAGCCCTGTACTTGGTCTAATACATTTTTTATTCTTGTCATTTAAAATTTCTGTTAAAGAAATTCAAGTCCCTAAATCCTCAGTGCAGCATAAATAAAAATAAACATTCTTGCAGATCCCTAGGTACTTTAAAATAACGTTCTTTTTCTTAGTGAAACGTTAGTTGCTAATGAGGTCTAGACTAATAAGACTATAGACTACTCGCAGACCACGCACAGAGGAACCGGTAACACAGTTCTCCTCCCACTGCCACACAAATTTGCACCAACCCTGTATCAGACGAACCCCCGTCGGGGTACCGGTTTAGGCTCCTGGGTGGTTTAGGCTCCCAATTCCATTCAGCTCCCAGGCTTTGTGCTGAGTGACTATCAGCAGGCGCTAGACAGTGCTCATTACTCACTAGGAACTGCTCTCAGATCACAGCTAGCCTCATTCAGGTTCTCTGCAAAAACTCAAGTTTTTGCAAACAGATGGTTCTACAAAAGAAACAGCCTTAATGTAGGCATGTATAGCCTTTTCCGTCTTTCTCAAAGTTGGAGGAACCATTCCATATAACTGTGTAAATCAGGCTATTGTGAGCTTCATGTTTTACAAGAATGACTCCTGCGTTACCGACATTGCTCCTTCAGCACTGGTTCTGAAAAGCTGGTAACTGTTGTATGTATTTGTATCCTCTAAGAATCAGACAATTTTAATAAAAGCATTGCTGAGAATTTAGCGTCTTCTTTACATTTGCATTGCTAAACTAATAAATTCATCTTCCATTAAATAAGAACATGAAAATCAATTCTCTATGGCAGATAAAAATAGACCATTTATAAACCCCTCAAAACTTGTGAAAATGAATTCTTTCATAATTCTGAGACGTATGTTCTCTTCTTGAAATACAAATGTAATTTGAAATTATTGATAACTCTAGATTTAACAATAATGCTATAAGTTTAACCCTGCTCCTTTTAAAGTCTCTTAGAAACTGAATGCCCTCTCAAATGAGAAAAATAGAACTTTTAATACTGCTTAGCTGTTCGAGACTCAACCACTCAGAGTCTTCCAAATGTCCTTCTTACAACGTCACATTGATTGTGTAACCTTTTAGAAGCTCTTGTTTGAAATTTATCTTAAAAAGAGATAGAGTGAATGGGAAAAAAATATTAGCTAATACTTCACTAGACAAGGCATTAGTACAGACCAGAGTCTTATTCATACGTCTCTATACATAAAAGTTTGAGCAGAAGCCCAAAGTAAACTTACTCCATCAAATGACCCAAGTTAATATATCAAGAGGCTGGCTTCAGAGGGCCAGTAAACAAACTGTATGATTCTTTGACATTCTTTTTGACGACTTCTTGACATTCTTTTTTGGTTCTTTTTGAGCATGGTTCTTATGAAGTCCTAATTTAGTACAGAGTTGTTTTTAAATATGAACTACCTGTTTCAACAACGTAAATCTGGGAAAGATCACATTTCCTCAGATCACATTTTTCCGCACACGAAAAAGTTGATCTTGCAAACATCTGAGGCACACGAGTAATTTTACTTACAGTAAATTACTCAGTAAATCTCACCCTTTACATGAAAAAATCCTCCAAATATATTAAGAATTTAGATGGCCTGGCCGGGTTCAAATAATTAATATCGTCCCTTGCGAAGCAGAAGTTGGAATATTTGTGTTTGAAGTCATCTTCCATATTTGAGGTTATCCTGGTAGTTGTCATATCGAAATTTAATTTATGTATGGAAGGCTGCCTCAAAGTTTGAAAAAGAACTGAGCAAACTGGGCTGATATTTCTGTTGAGTACAATAATTTCCATTACATAAGACAGTGGTAGGGAAACAGAAATAACCTTGTTGCTTGAGAGGACTTGGGATCAGACTATACTGTAATCAGGGACTATGTATGTAGAGTTGGCCATGCTTCAACTGCTTAGTTGTTCTGCATACAAATAGGTAGTGCTTTCATGTGTTATCCCTGCTTACTCTGTGACTGTTTCCAACGCCATCCAAATATCATTTCCCAAAAAATTATCCTATGAAGTTGGTGTTTGCTTTTTGTGCATTCAGAATGCTGAACACACTTGCACGCGACTGACCAGTGCAACTCATTTTAACACATTTGTTTCTGAGGTATGGAGACATTTCTACTAGTCCAGGAGGGCTTAATAACGATCACAAATCGAAACCCCTCCTGGGCTAGGTTGAAAAAGGTATGTTTTCTCCACACCAAGAACATGACTGTGAAGCGCCTTTCATTTGGCATGCTGCTTAGCTGTGTATTTTTACAGTTCATAATGAGTATGTGAAACCAATTTGGCAACCATCGCTTCTTCATTGCACCATGCATGCTCCACGTGTGTGGCCCACAGTTCTCTGGACCAAGAGGCTGGGGTGGTTCTGTCTCTAAGGCAATGGAAAGAGCTCAGCACAAATTCTTGAAATCATTACAAAAGGACCCTCCCCACAGTAGCTTCCTAAGTGATCACTGTTACTCCTTGAAGAGGACGGGGAGACGAAAAAGAAGCCTGTTCTTCTTCACGCTGAGATCGATGATGAAAATAATCTTGTAGGGGGAGAAGTGGAGGCAAGTACTTGAACATTCACAGTTTGATGCAAAGCACAGATGAAGTATATTCTGTAGTTGCTTCAGGCAGTTTTGCGCATAGAAAAAAAGAAATGTTTAGAAAATAAAAAGTTTACTTTGTCTTTCTGGGTATAGTCAGAACCAGTCTCTATCCCACCTGCACAAGTGAAAATGGGAATCCAAAATTAATCCGATTTGTGGCAGTAAAGGTCCTTAAGTGCTTTCAACTCCTCAATCAGTGTCTTGTTTTGGTTTTCAAGCACAGCCACTCGATTTTCTAGACACTTCACGTACTCCTTTTTCTTCCTGCGACATTCACGTGCGGCCTCTCTGCAAAGCAAAAAAGGCCATTCAAATCCAGAACCATTACTTGCAGACATGGGCTACTTAACAGTTCAGGTCAAACGTCTACCTAATACTGCCATTTTTAGAATATGGAGGTATTGTGAAAAATGCAAGCTAGGAAGAAACACTGAGCTCCTAATAATTGCTCCTCACAAATCACACACGCTCTAAATCCACAGATCATTTCAACATGCAGATCCCAGTAAGTCAGCACCAATAAAATTCTGCTTCTGTGAGAAAAGGATCCTACTCAATGACAAAATTCTGCTTGCGGGATTTACATTAGAGCCTTTAGGCCGAGTCGAATGCTGCTACAATAATTTCATTGATTTTATTTGTGCTGGTTTTGGCTGAAGTAGTTAATTTTCTTCATAGTAGCTACTATGGGGCCATGTTTTGGATTTGTGCTGAAAACAGCGTTGATAATGCAGAGATGTTTCGGTTATTGCTGAGCAGTGCTTACACGGAGTCAAGGCCTTTTCTGCTTCTCACTCCACCCCACCAGCGAGGAGGCTAGGGCTGCACAAGAAGCTGGGAGAGGACACAGCTGGGACAGCTGACTCCAACTAACCAAAGGGATATTGCATTCCATATGACATCATGCTCAGTATATAAAGCTAGGGAAAGAAGAAGGAAGAGGAGGGACGTCTGCAGTTACGGCATTTGTCTTCCCAAGTCACCGTTACGTGTCCTGCTTTCCTGGAGACCTGCCTGCCGATGGGAAGTGGTGAACAAATTTCTTGTTTTGCTTTGCTTGTGTGCACGGCTTTTGCTTTACCTATTAAACTGTCTTTATCTCAATCCATGAGTTTTCTCACTTTTAGCCTTTTGATTCTCTCGCCCATCCCACTGAGGGTGGGGTGAGTGAGCGGCTGTGTGGGGCTTAGTTGCCACCGGGAGTTAAAGCACAAGAGTCCTTTTTGGTGCCCAATGTGAGGCTTGAAGGGTTCAAGATAACGACAGATTGGATTGGAATGTGCTAGATCAAGTCTGTAACTGTTACTGCTGTTTAGCTATTAGTCGGCAGGCTTCTGTGCTTGGCACGGGGCTCGCTTGCCTTACTGTACGTTGGAGTCTAGTGCCCATTAGTGGCTGCTTTTTGTTTTTGCTGCTTGCTGTACTGCTGATCGTCTTACTCTGCTGTGCTTGGGCACATTTTGATAACAGCCACCGCCTGGGCGGGCAGGTGGCCAGGGCATCGCTGCTGTTTCTGCTGTACTGGACAAGACGGAACTCCAGTGTGAACTCGAGTGGCAGGGACTGTAACCTGTGGATGAGTCCACATGGGAGCAGGACATCCTAAAGTGTCTGTGGCCACGGTTATGGCTGTGCCACAGCACGTATACCTCTGAAGAGATTGTGGTCCACGGGTAAGTTCACACTGGAAAAGGTACACCTCCAAGCATCTGTGGCTGTGGATAAGCCTGTGCTGCAGCACGTTCACCTTCAAGCATCAGTGGCTCTGCATGAGGTCTTGCTGGAGCACCTCAAAGCATATGGCCATGGATAAGCCCATGACAGAGCAGATACACCCCTGGAGGGACTGCAGCCATGGGTAAGGCCATATTGGAGCAGGTTTGCTTCTGAAAGGACTGTTGCTGTGGATAAGGCCACGCTGGAGCAGGTAGATCTCTGAAGACATTGTGGCCCCATGGATAAAGCCATGCTGGAGTAGGTGTATCTCTAAAGGCATTGTGGCTCCATGGATAAAGCCATGCTGTAACAGGTGCACCTCAAAAGTGACTGTGGCTGTGGATAAGCCTATGCCACAGCAGGTATACCTCTGAAGAGACTGTGGCTTATAGATAAGGCTCCACTTGGAGCAGGTACAACCCTAAGAGACTGCAGTCTGTGGCTAAGTTCAAGCTGGAGCAGGGGCAATGGGAGGAGTTCGTTGCCATTTTAAACCCTATACCCTGGCCTAAAGGCATCAAGGGTGGAGACTGTAATGGAAATACCTTTAAATTGCTGTAACCTGGGATTTCAGTTGTGTGTGGCAGGAATTACTATAGCAGGAACCACCTGAACCAATGGAGGACAAGCCTTACAAGAAGCAATGCAAGTGCAGCAGTGACCTGACCTGAGCTGGCTTCGGAGCCCAGTAACTCCACTCAACACACCACTTCTCCTGTCCTGACTGACCACCGTAACAGATGGCACCCAAAGTCATGGACTAAATGAACTAAATGGACATTTTCTGGACATTTGAGGACACTTTACAGACACTTCACAGGGGCAATGATATCTGTGTATTATATCAAAGGATGGGAGGGGTGGTGGTGGGAAATGAAAATGTATGGGATAGTGTGGGCCCTGAGCATGACATAAATGGTACGGAATAAGGAGTGGAGAATGTGCTGGGTTTAGCTAGGGTAGAGTTAATTTTCTTCATAGCAGCTACTATGGGGCCATGTTTTGGATTTGTGCTGATAACAGTGTTGATAATGCAGGGATGTTTCAGTTGTTGCTGAGCAGTGCTTACACAGCATCAAGGCCTTTTGTGCTTCTCACCCCACCCCACCACTGAGCAGGCTGGGGCTGCACAAGAAGCTGGGAAAGGACACAGCTGGGACAGCTGACTCCAATGGACCAAAAGGATATTCCACACCATATGACATCATACTCAGCATATAAAGCCAGGGGAGGAAGAAGGAAGGGAGGATGTTTGGAATGATGGCTTTTGTCTTCTCAAGGAACCGTTACATGTGATGGGGCCTTGCTTTCCTGGAGATGGCTGAACATCTGCCTGCTGATGGGAAGTGGTGAACAAATTTCTTGTTTTCCTTTGCTTGTATGCACAGCTTTTGCTTTACTAAGTAAACTGTCTTTATCTCAACCCATGAGTTTTCTCACTTTTACCCTTCTGATCCTCTCCCCGATCCCACCAGGGGCAGGGTGAGCGAGCGGCTGGGTCGGGCTTAGTTGCTGGCTGGGGTTGAACCATGACATTATAATAATAAATAGATGAATAATAAAAACATGGATAAGACTACTGTTACTCTATTAATCTCTTTATAGTCTTAACTCTTCCCTTTGCTGCAGTGCAACCAAATATTAATGGTCAGGATGTTAAACCGGTGAAAAAACAGCTCTATTTAGAGTATTCGTATATTTGCTCTCGAGCAATACTTTCACTTTATTAATAATGTCTGCAGCACTGCAATGACAATATAAATGACTCAAATTAAAAATCAGAGAACAGTCACTAGCAACTATATCATTCCTTAGTCCTTGTCTGCTGTGCCAAGAACATGGCAGTGTTAATGTGCTGAAGCTGAAGCACTTCTCGAGACAGTGAAACTTTTAAAGCTTGCTTATAAAGACTGAGCAGTGTGTAAGTAACTTGGTAACATACTAAGTACACCAATGCAAAATACCTGAAAGGTGTTAATGTGCTGCTGTGCATCCTGAAGGCAGTAACACCAAAGCAGAAGCTATCCTACACAGCAACAGTAATGGTACCAATGTGCAAAGTAAGCAGAAGGCTAAAAGCTGCAGGCAGATGGGAGTCCAGGCAGAGGGTTCTCCTCCTGCAATGCAGCTTGTCAAAGCAGCACACTGCAGATGCATGTACATTTACATGCAAGTTTGCCCTTAACCTTTAGCTTCAAAGCAGAGCAGCCTCAGAAGGAGAGCCTGAGTGTCCCTGCAAACACTACATAGATCAGTGATACAGTCAATGTTCGGCGAAATGAGAGCACAAAATGGAACCCAGTTCTTCTGCTTATCAGATAAATAGTAGTTGTAGTACTAGGTAAAAAAGAATGTCTGTTCCAGGATCTACCTGGTAAAAAGACCCTAAAAGTAATTCTGAAATTCAGCCCCACAAATGAGACAGGATGAAGAAAACCTAGTTTGTAAGCCCTGAAAGGACTCAGGTATCCATTTGTCACTCCTACAAATACAATTTCACATGCTTGCAGCACTTCAGTGGGCCTTGTGCAACATTTAGAATTTAAGTAATTTTGGAGTGTTACTCTTGTCACCAAAAGATTAAGTACCACTGGATCAGGAAGTGCCTCCCAGTGCAAGCTACCAACCTGTCTTCTTGAGTGACAACTTTTTCTTTCTTTTTGTGATTTTTGTGCCAGCTTGGGCTGTATATTAAGCCACCTCAAGTCTGTGTGCATTTGTTATTCATTATGAACAGCTAGAATTATACTCAATTACAAGAGAGCTTTTAAAATGTAAAATTTGCACAGAAAATTTGCACAATAATATCTATGAATATTTACGCCATAATCCTCCAGTAAGTACCGTCTCACCATCTGCCTCTCTATATCCTTTTCCCTTGCTTTGCTATGGAGCTTAGACTTGCAAATACCTATTAAGCAGGCAGGCTAAAAGCACCACATGCAACACGATACTGTTGCAAAAACTGTCAAATTCACTCAAGTGGGGGTAATTCCCCATTGTTTTTCTTGGCTTTCCCAAACACAAAGCTTTCTTTTACTGGAATAAGACTGCTGACTAAATGAGGGGATTCGGAATGCTAATTAAATTTTTCTCAAATGCAGAGCCTGATACAGTAACATCTACTATTCACTGATATCAGAAAAATATATAAAATATATAAAAAGGGGAGATGAGTGACATTCTGTACAAAAACCTTTAAAAAAAGTGAACTCTGCTGTTAAGCATTATTTACTTCATTAAAGCCCCTCAGATAAGCATTGGGTCTGCTCATTAACTTTCTATTGTGTTCGCAGCTCAGCAATCTACAGAAGATAAATGCACCTGTACAGCATTACCATTTTTTTCAGATTGACAGGTGAAGTAAACAGTGCTTTCATGGGGCTTCCCCTCCTCAGACGGGAGGGAAGCATTGCAGTTTTCCTAGTGTCACAGTATAACATGCAGGCTCAATCTGTGGCCTTCAGATGGAGTGCAAGCTTGGTGTGACGGGTCAGCTCAGGCCCGCCCCTTCCCTCTCCCACAGCAGTAGGCTTACAGAGCATCACGCCCAACTTCGCTCTGCTGCTCCCTTCCTTCGCTGCTCCCACCAAGCCCCACCTCAGTAGGCTTGGCTGCTCCTCCTCACACACTAAATCCTACAGGGTCAAGTCTCCTCTCTCTCTTTCAGCCCCTCTGCTGCCACTACTGGCTCCACAAGACTTCAAAAGGAGTAGGTGCTCATTTAGCCTCTCCTTGACTATTTCTGCCCCTGGAGGATAAAACCCAAAGGGTAAGCAGCTAAAGAGAACAAGTGAGACATTCAAGAAGAGTGAAAAGTGCAGGTGGGCCCTAAATCCTACAGGGTCAAGTCTCCTCTCTCTCTTTCAGCCCCTCTGCTGCCACTACTGGCTCCACAAGACTTCAAAAGGAGTAGGTGCTCATTTAGCCTCTCCTTGACTATTTCTGCCCCTGGAGGATAAAACCCAAAGGGTAAGCAGCTAAAGAGAACAAGTGAGACATTCAAAAAGAGTGAAGAGTGCAGGTGGGCCAGCAGCAAGGAGAATACATGCAGACGGCTAAGTAAAGAATACAGGAAAGGAAACTACATGAATGTATTAACTCAAAAAAAACAACTCACCTCAGTGTTTGTAAGAACATATCTGCAGTCATACAAGTCTCTCACCAATGGCTTTTGTCCTTACGGCAACAAACAAATTCGCACACCTCACAGAATGAGTCTGACACCTTTACTTAAGGTTTCACAGTCACAATACATGGCATTAGCAGATGTGCTTCTTTGCTTTGTATCTTTAAATAAGGGCGAACTCTTCAGAAAGCATTTCATAAAACGACTAAGAAAGATCAGGATTCTTAGTTCTTAACACTCTAGTTCTATACAGAGCTGACTGGAAAAAAAGTGATCTAAATGTACATGCCTGTTCTTCATTAGACGCACTTCTCTCTTCCGTGCGGCCTCTTCTGCTGGCTGGGTTGGAAGTGCTGGAGAGGATGCCATAACTACGCCTGGTGCAATGGTGCTGGTAGGGGTGGTGCGGATCTGGTATGTCTGCACGTCTCCTGAGGCAGCTGAAAGACACAAGCGAACATGACCTCCGTTTGGTGACAGCGCTGTTAAACATGGTGCAAAGAGCATCTAGTCTCCTATCTAACCATGCACTTTGTGCTACAGTACAGGAGGGATGACCATCATCTGGATCATCATTGCTATCTCAATCTTAGTTTATTAACGTATGCAAGGTTTTGGGCATTCTTCCTGAAGAAGTCTTCACTTGTGCTTGGTAACTTGATTTGTCTTGCTGTACTGCTGCACTTCTTTCTCCCTTAGTATACTTCTTTTTACTTCTCTGTTTTTTTTTGCGGTTTTAGCAGTTTTAAGAAGACCAAGGATGCAAATAGTATTTCTAGCTATGCTTCAAATGTCTATCTACAAAAGGAGAAACTGCATGTGTAAGTATCTGGCACAGAAAAAAGGGTGTAGAAATGTCGCATTTATTCTAACGAGAAACGGTGCAAACGAGGCACTCCACTACTTCTCTGGAATGAACAAGGTCTTGGGTTTCTTTTGGTTGTTCATTGTAACCCAGGAGCGTGTTATATTTGCAAGAGCTTGTGAAGAACATACGATACCACCTGAAGAAATCACATGTCCTTAAGAGCAGAAGATCAAAACAACAATAGTATTTTTCTCAGCTATGTATTTTCACTGATGCCTGGAGACCTCTTCACTGGATAACTTTCAAATCACCTGCTTTACAATCATAAAAGCAGGAGTACGCTTTCCTGTTATTTTTAATAAACAATTTTTAACATCCCCCAATTATTAATAAACCAAACCAATTATTTTAATACAATAAAAAAATCCCAACTTATTCTAAGTTAAAGTAGCCCTGCTTGCTTTAAGAGGAGGGCCAGACCAAATGGTCTCTTGAGGCACTTTCCTGAATTATTCTATGACTCTAAGACTCAATGAATAAGTACTTGGTGACTAGTTACAAAAACCACAACAGGAAGAAATTATGACTTGTAAATGAAAAAGGGAAAAAATTACTAATAAACTGAAGTGTCCTTATAGAAACAATCAAACAACTTTCTTTCCTAACTTCGATGCTTCACTTTAAATATACTACTGTTGCAGATGACTATCTGTGAGAACTCAGAACTCTAAAATGGTACCAGTTTTTGCAGAATATATTAAAAAAATATATTGTGTGGACAAAACACAGGAAATACAGAATGGAAAACCAAAACGAAATATATTGTTTTAAGAAGCAAACCCAAAATATCCATGATTTTATCAATATGAAGGGAAAGGCTCCAAGAAAATGCAACAAATAGCTTTGTCCAGAATTTCCTTTATTCATTTTGGAGACTTAGCTGTGCCAAAACTGTTAATTATATTTCCTGACACATTTGAAGGAGTTAGGTTGGCAACTTATATCTGCATGGAGAAAACTTTATACAGAATAGCTGGCTGTGAAGTTTCTCACCTTGTACAACCACTTGGTTGCTGGGTACAAGTATCTGTTGTCCATCTGTGGTCTGTGCATATTGTAAGATGGTGGTGCCAGGTTGGGTTGCAGCTGCGTTGGTCATAGTCAATGTCTGGAGACCTTGTACTCCATCTGTGCCATTGTTAGACAACTGTATTGCTCCTCCTTGGGTAATAGCAACTGAAGGAAAAAAAATCAACACAGCATTTAAGACACTAATTTACTCATTAACTTACAATATTAAACCTAGATATGGAAGAATACTGATCTGAGTTAAATCCCTTGAAGCCTTATACAATCTCAAATCAGACACATGGCTTTAATGTACGTTAAAGAAATCATGCTTTGAAAGTAAGTTCAATTTTTCGTGAGAGCCGTATTTTTAGGGAGGCCTAAAAACCAGCCTAAAACACAAATTAGTTTCTCTGATAAAACAGCATCACACAGAGGAGCTACAATCCTCCCCCAGGGAATACTTTTTAATTGTTAGTTAAAATTTTCTTCTCGGTTGGTTTAGGTCTTTTCCTCAGTCCTTTCTTTTTTCTTCTCATCTGAAATTCCTCTCCTCTTCCATGCTTTATGCCCTTCTGTCTCCTCTGCTGCTATTGCTATCCGTCTTGTGTTTCACTTTCTTCTTCCACTTTTTTTTTCTTCTGATTGTATCCCCCCTTCTCTACAACTTCCTCAGCGCCTTCCTAGCAGTGTTTTCATTCATAAAAGTCCAGTTTCACACCTTTTTTTTCCTTCAAGCAGTCTCACTTTGCTGTGGTTTTTTTTCCTTTCTTTCCCTCAGTCTTGTCATGCAGGTGTGCTGACACATCACCCCTCATTTGTGATCCCACAGAATTTCACTGTGTTCCTATATACAGACACACCAAAATCTCAAGTATCTGCACAAGCAGTTATTTTACAGTCATGGTAGGAAAGCAGAGTTAACCACATCAGTTTCAATAAAATTAAGTAAGGTATTAGGCACAGTGACTAAGAAGTAAACAGAGATACATTTGAAGAAATTTTAAGAGAAATATGTAAACAAGTAGCTCTTTTTTGTACATTTAATACTGTGTTTGTTTGTGTGAGACAGCATATGAATTCTAGCTTTACTGCTGTAAATCCTTTAAGTCAAAGCGCTATAGCTATAAAACCTAATGGATAAAGAAAACACAGAAACTTGTATTTATTACGTATTTTAAATAAGGTTGCTGAAGTTCTTATTTTTTCAGGACTTTCTAAAAATGTAATTGCAGATGGTAATGTTTTTTCTATTAATGAGGTTACAATTTTGTGAACCAGTATTAATAGTCTGCCAGGAAAAAAAGAAACTTCTGAATTACCTCATCTGGTTCCTGAAGTGAAAAAGTTTGCAATAGCATTATGGTTAGTTCATATTTTGCCTTGGGATGCATTAAGCTGCATTAACTGCCAAGCAGTCTCAGAATGTTAATTGAACATTTCAAATACTTACAATAAGAATGTGTTTAAAAAGCAGAGTTATCAAACAGTCAAATTAAAGGAAACTTGTTTTCACCTCCTGCTTTGTCCTAGTCCAAACAGTTATAGAAATAACAGTTCTTCATCTTCTCATCCCCACTTACTAGCACCACTGAGAAATTCAGACTACATACTGTACTGCCCACTGCTGGTTTGGTAAATGGGAGTTGGCACCGTAACAGTGGCGATGGCAGGTGCTGCTGTTTCCTCTTCAGACTTTTCTTCTTCAATCCTTGGCACTCCTGGGGCGTCTGAGGACAAGTCATTCAAAATTTTTCTGGCAAAGACAGTGCGTTGTAGAGATTTTAATAAAAATTGAAAAAAAAAAGTCTATTTGATACATAATCCTGGAGAAAACTGAAAAGTGCAGTAAGCCAGCAAGGAAAATACGGGTGCAGAATGAAAAACCTGCACTATCTTCAAAATCTTACTGGAGAGGATTGTTCAACGTGCCATGCACAGATGGGCAAGGGAGCCAGCACAGAACAGCTGTGCTTATCAACACAAGATACAGGTGCTTCTTAACAGGTTCTTCTCAACCCAAGATATAGCTATCGCAACCTTCCCTTTTCTTAAAAACATGTTTCTCTCTCATCCATTTTACTTGTTTCCTGCTTTTAGCCTCATAAAGATTTGGAGAAAGCAAATGTAGGTAAAAACCTGTCTCCTCACATCAGGGGAACTGCTCCGTTTCAGAGACCGTAAAGGCCTCAGCCAGAGAGCTGAGTATAAAGGAAGTTAGCAGAAATTCTTGCAAAGAGCAACCAGTTTATAATCTAACACCTGCCTGGGACACAATGCTGAGTGTTGGAGTAAAGTCAGACAGTTTCATTTACAGGCACCCTGCCTGAGAAAGCTGTGAGATTAGCATGGGTAAAGGAAAGAACGGTTTGTTTAATTACTTCCATGGGTTAATCATCCAAAGGCAAAA